CCCTTCATCCTAGTGGCTTAACCAGGCAAGCAGGACCATCTCCAGAGCTTCTCCTTCAGATGAGCATTCTCTGACCTGAAAGGTGTGAGTAATAGAATAGATGAAGGCTATCCCATAAGCAACACTGGTTAGCCAGAAAAGTGAGCGATCATATGCCTGTTTCACGTGCCAAGAACAGAGACCATTCATTTGTGTACTTACTCCTTCAGTCACTTGGTATCTGTCTGTGCTTATCGAGTGCCTACTTTAAGAGGTAGACTTCTAGGTCCTGGGGATGCCATGGTGAATAAGCCAAAAACTCAGCCTTCCTAGAGCTTATATTCTGCTGGGGCAGTAAACAGTAAATAAATATATAACATATTGTTATGCTTTGAAGAAAAAGAAAATAAGGAGGACAGTGATAGTAGTGGTCAGGGAAGATATCTCTAAAGAGGTGACATTTGAGCAGAGACTTGTGTGAAGTGACAGAATGGGCCAGTGATAATCTAGGGGGAGAGAATCACAGGCAGAAGCAACAAAGTGCAGAGATCCTGAGGTGGGAACGAACCTGGCATGGTAAAGGAACATCAGGCAGACCAGTGTGACTAGAGCAGAACAAGTGAGGTGGAAGAGGGGAGGTGGGGGAGCCCCACGGCAGGGGCTGGAGCTGGATCATGAAGGGCGTGGAAGGGCACGGACAGGACTTTGAGATTTACCCTGAGTGGGATGGGAACCAGAGGAGTGGGCTGAGCAAGGGGTGTCGCAATCTGCCTTTTGTTCCTCAGTGATCACTGTGGCTGCCGGGTGAAGACGACGGCAGGAAGCGAAACCTAACAGGAGGCTGTTATAATCGTCTTAGGCTTCTTTTGCTTTGCTTTGTGTTTACTTTTTGTTTTGAAATAATTTTTGACTTTAAAGAACTTGCAAAATAGTAGAGAGTCCTGTCCATCCTTTACCCATATTCTCCAAATGTTAACATTTTTGAAAATTACAGTACAAATATCAAAACCAGGAAATCAGCAGTGATACAATACTGTTCTCCAACCTGCACACCTTATTCCCGTTTCCCCAGTTATCCCACTAACATCCTTTTTCAGGTTCAGAATCCAACTAGAGACCACATGCTGCATTTGGTTACGATGTCTCCTTAGTTTCCTTTAACCTAGAACAGTTCTTGAGTCATTCTTTTTCTTTTAAGACCTTGGCATTTTTGAGTACTAGCCACAATGTCCCTCCCTTGTAAAATGCCCCTCCATCTGAGTTTTCTCATGGTTAAATTCAGGTTACGTATTTTTGATACCACCACAAAAGTGATGTTATGCTTTAATTTAGTGCATCAGGGAGCGCCTGATACTGATTTTCCCAGTTACGGGTGATGTTAACTTTGATCATTTGATTAGGGTATGTGTCTCCACTTTGATCACCCTTTGTAATTCATAAGTATTTTAAAAGGAAATACCTTGAAACTGTAGATATTCTCTTTCTTATTATATTTTTGCCCAATTTTAGTATTGCTGATTCTTATCAGAAACAAGTATTACTGTGATGCTTGCCAAATCCTGTTTTTTATCATAATTCCTTCTACACCTTTTAGCTGGAATTGTACTATAAGGGAAAACTTTTCCCATATTTATTTGTCTATATTGTAATAGGCCGAGTTCTTATTAATTTCTATGTGTGAGGCTCCTCTACTACCATTTATTTATCTTGTTCAAAGTGTCTCATATTTGGCTATTGGGAACCCCTTCATGTTGGGTTCTGTGTCCTTTTCACATGTCCTCATAATTTTTTAAGCACATCTTAGTTTTTGGTGCCATATGGTGTTCCTGACTCAGCTTAATTGCTCAATCCTAGAATATACATATAGTAGTTTCAGAATTGTTAACCTATGTAACTCACAGCCCTATGAAATATAAACCTAGTAACTAGAGTGCTATTTATTTAACCTTATTACCATTTTCCAAAGTTACTTTTGTCACTTCTCCCCTTACCCTCCTTTAGTGTGGTTGTATCATTCGTTTGTAATGCAGCTAGGTTCTATTGTTTCTGTTTATATTTCATTTGGGGCCCATCCCCGCCCCACCCCCACCCCCTGACACACACAAATACTCTTAGTTGATTTTAATTATTTACTAGTTTTCACATATGTGAAACATAAACATGGTTCTAAAACTCAGAACCAAAGAAAAATATATGCTATGAAAAATGTCATTCTCTTTCATCCTTTCTCCATTCTCATTTCCCAGCCTTTCACACACACTTGCTGTAGTTAATAAATCTTATTAATTTCTCATTTATCTTTTTTTCTTAAATGAAAGGTAACATAACATATTCTTTTGCACTTTGCCTTTTTCACTTTATAGTATACTTGGAAATCATTTCCTATCCATCCAAGAGATCGTCATTCTTTTTCATGGCTGTATAGTACTCTGTGAATGTGTGTCATAGTTTACTCACCTACTCTCTTATATGAGCATTTAGGTTGTTCCCAGTGTTTAGCTTTTTCAAACAATGCTGAAATGAATATCCTTGTGTATGTATATTTTTGTATTATTTGGTGGGAGTAGGGACTGTATCTTCAAGATAAATTCCTAGAAGTGAGATTGCAGGATTAAAAGCCAAGTTCATATGCAGTTTTGTTAGATATGATCTTCCCCACTTTACTAGTTTGCATTCTCATCAGCAATCTATGAGAGTGGCTTTTTCTTCCATACCCTTTACAACAAAATATGTGTCATACTTCTTAATTTTCCAGATGAGAATTTTGATAGTGGCTCACACAAGGAGAGCAGTAGAGGTAGTGAGAAGAGCTTAGATTCCAGGTATATTTTGAAGGAAAAACCAATTCAGAGTTTGTGATAGATTGCTTTGAAAGCTAAATTCTGTTTAAATATTAGGCATCAGGAATAATAGTCTAAACAAGTAACTTTTCATTAGCATGACATTTATTGAAGTTTTTGGTGACATTCCCCTTCTTCTTGAGTCAGCCTTGTTATAATAGTCCAATAAATATATGGCATTTTAAAAGGTAATGCTAACTGCTCCAACAAGTAATTTTCAATATTTTAGTGCCCTAATGCAGCAGAAGTTTATTCCTCACTCATGTAACAACCTAGTACAGGTATTGCTGACTTACAGCTCTTTTCCATGTGGTGATTCAGGGACCCAGGCTCCTTCTAGAACATAGTTTCTCCTTGCCCTGGGGTCTTGGAGTCCTCTAAGAAAAAGTGTAAACAGAAAGTAGAAAAGGGACATCTTAACTGTCTTCACCTGGAGGTGATATAAATTGCTCCTACTTACTTTCTGGTTTCTATCACATGACCCCTAGATGCAAGAGGGCTTGGTAAATGTGGTCCTTGCAGGATGGCAGCTTTCCAGGGAGCGCTCTGTATATGGAAAGGTGGACAGTTGGCTAACTCTGCCACAGATATTTAACAAAGTAAGCCATTTGGGTACCATGTGGGAATAAATACCATGTTTTGCAGAATGGAATGCATATCCTGGACTATTACATTGCCAAATACTGAAGGATGATTTTTTTTTTTTTAAGTATAATCATGGAGTTTAATAGCAAGGAAAGAAGATGAATTCTACAGAAGGAGGAAATATTTAGCTTTGAAAGACTGAGCATAACAGAGGTGTTCCAAATAAGATTGATGAATGAAAAAAAAAAGATTTTTGTATTTTCCTTCATCTGCTCCTTCATTCATTCAACAGACAGTACTAGGGCCTTTCTGCTGTCGACTCTGCTTAGTGCTGGAGTGTGTGGAAGGGCGGGAAATGGTGAGAGACGGGAGATGGGAGCTGCAGGGGGTGCTTACCACATATGCACTGGGCAAAGTGATGTTTATTCTTACATGGACAGGAATATATACAAGCAGAATGTTGTGCAGTCAGAGGAAGATGCTATTAAACAGAGAAGTGGGGATATTTTTTTTCTTCTGATCTTGAAAAAAAGTCTTCTGAGACAATTACATAAAGGAAACTTTTCCTAAAGCTTTTAAAGTACAGCACTTCAGTAGAACAAATTGCTAATCTAAAGAAGAAAAACATCAGATTCCAGCAGATTAAGAAAGATATTTTATGTTCTTTCCAGGATATAGTATTTGTCAGTAATGTAAAAAATGAGTATTCCTCATTCTTCAGGATTCATAGGCTTTGTGCTCATCTTATAGGGAAAAAGTTATTATTCTTCTCAGTGCATAAGGAGTTCGATTTATAAGGGGGCTGCCAGAGAAGAAAATCTGTCATGATATGTTACAGCTGCGCCACTGGAGTGATGCTAACAGCCAGCCCGTGTAGTGCACATGCAGAGTGGCGCTGCGCACTCGATCCAGCCTTATTCTCAGCACAGCCTTGTGAGGTAGCTAGCAGCTAGGCTGACATTATCGGTAGTGTAGTCATAGCACCATAGTCCCCATTTTAGAGTTGAGGAAACTGACACTTGAGGGTGTAAATGATGTGCCCAGAATCTATAAATTTAAATTCCAAAGAGAGAAAATAGCTTTTAAATTCTGATACTGTAGTCTAATTTTATCTGATGTTCAAGAATAAAAAATCTAATAGAGCTTCTTAAAACCGTGTTTACTTAATCTGTTATTGTCGGGATGGGAAGTAGACAGCAGTTAAAAAAATGTGACTAACATTTCCAAACAGCGCGATATTTTCCATTCTTCTTAGAATTATTTTTATTAGAATTATGTCTTAGAATTATGGTCGAAGGTCAGTTAATTGCCTTTTCATTTCTCTCGGTCTTTATAGTAATTGATTTTATGGTACTTTTAAATTTGGGGAGGAAAATGCTTAAAGTGTGAGACTTTTATTCTTGGAGCCAATTTTTTCTCTTTTGGGACTTTTTCAACAAAAAGTTCTTTTTTAAAGAACTAAAGTTTTGTTCTTTCAACAAAAATGTTATTGTGTGCCAGAAACTGCTCTAGATCCTAACTCCTTTGCATTCACATTTTATTGGTGAATAATATTGTTACTGTGTGACTAATGTTCAGCTGTGTCTGGTCTCTCAGGTGGGGTGACTGCTCTCTGTTGGGACCCCGTCCAGCGAGTTTTGTTCTCAGGCAGCTCCGATCACTCTGTAATCATGTGGGACATCGGTGGAAGAAAAGGAACAGCCATCGAGCTCCAAGGACACAAGTAAGACCACTGGTGCTTTTATAAAGAACTCTTGAAAAAAGATTCCCAGCTGAAGGCTGGAATAAAGGAGTGCAGCTCAGTCTCTGGGGCAGGATCTTAGCGTGGGAAGGGCATGGCAGGAAAGCAAATAATGGCCACTTTGATTTATATCTGTGTGTAAGTATGTTTATTTATTTATACCCCATTTTATTCCACAGAGGATTTGAGAGTGCTTATAGAAACCATAAAATAAAATAATGGCAGAAAATAAATAAAAGGTAAAAATTAGAACCAGGGAGAATATAACAGTAAAAATTTGAGAGTGAAAGAAAAAAGAGCTTACAAATACAAGCCATGAAGGCCTACAGAATTTCTGTAATTGAAGTCAAATGTGGCTTCAAGATTTCTGGCAGCTCAAGGAAAAGGGGAGAGATAATATCCTTTCTCACAAAGTACATTTTGTACTTCACCAAATATTTATTGAGTACTCGGCCTTGATTCATATCAGGCTCTTCTTCCTTAAGGGACGGATTTCAAGGGACTGAGAGGAAAAGCAGAGAAAGCTTTGTGTTTCCTTGGAGCGATTCTCCAACTTGGCCATGCATAAGGAATCACCGAGGAATTTGTTTAAAGTAGGTTCCCGGGCCCTGTCTTTGGAGATTCCGATCACCAGTCTGGAGCTGCAGGCGTCTGTGGTAACAAGCCTCCCAGGCAGCTCTCTGCTGCTGACCCTCAGACCACACTCTGATTTGTCCTGCTCTGGGCTGCCCACAGTCCCTGGGGGCAATGTCTGTTCAGTTGCAGTAAAAAATTTTGGAACTGCTGTAGAATTCTAAAGCTAGTCTAAATTGTTTTTAACTTGTAAAGTTTTCAAAGTGATATTCAGAGCGACTCCAGACAGCCATAAAGAAATGTCAGTAATGCTCCCGTGAACCGGCTGGTTTTAAACAACATTAGCTCTTCCTATAAATCTGCCTGGAAACACTAGTTTTAAAATATTTCCTTAAAAAAAATCTGCAGTTTAGGATTATTGAACTAATTTAGTTTTGGAGGGCCCATGCACAAATAATTGTTGTAGTGTTAGAGTTTAGTTTCAGAGATGTAGCTATTAAGCCCTTCTTTCTCACATTAGAGTACAGACCACGGTGTCTGGGGCCACAGCTGGCTTACGGGGCCACTGGACCTCGTCATCAGCTCATTAGAGGAATTGTCCTCCTACGTTTCTCTCCATGACATGCATAACCATCATGTAGAAGGAGTCGACGTCAGTCATCCATGTATGTGAAGATAAAGGAAAGCCAGGTGGTCCTGTCTAGTAACACTCAGCTACTGTCTAATCTGCCAGGCGATTCCTGGCACACGGGCTCTTGGAGAAACAAAACGCGGGTTGTGAATGAAGATCAGTAATATTTGTTGGACTCATTCAGATGAGCCATAACTAGTTTTGTTTTTACACAGTGGTTGGTAAAGGGTGCAGGTAGCCTTACAGGACCCATCCACATGATGGGAAAGTGTCGCCACTCTCCACACCAGCATCACCATGTGCTGAGTGCCCTCATGCGAAACATTGCTCTGGGAAACTTGCACCTCCAGTTTGGTAAGAAAAGAAGAGCTGTAAGGCTGGAATGCAATTTCTCAGTCCCAGAAAAATGAAACCTAGACTAATAGGTCTTCCAGTTCTAAGAAATACAAACTTGGCCTTATAGAAAATGAAACAGACCAAACTTGGAGTCCATCCTGACAGGATCACACCCCTGGAATTTAGTGGGGCGGCAGGCAGGTGAGATCAAGAACCACCAGTCAGAACTGGTTTTAAATGGAAATAATAGCAGAAGGCCTTTGCCTCGTGACTTATTTAACTCAAGCTTAGTAACAAAGTGAACTCTATGAGGGGGGTCTCAGGTCTTAGCCTGAGAGGAGACACCTTGATGCCACAGAGCTAGGGGAAGTAAACTTCCTCAGCTTTGGTACTGTCGTTCTATTAGGGTGGGTTTGAACGCCCGAGGTGGAGATACAGAAGCCAGAGGAACTGCTGGCAGTAGGAGGACGGCCTTCACAAAGAAGGTTCAGGAAAGAACGGGAAAGGGCATCAGGCAGGAAAGAGGTCATGAGGCCCACTTTCATAGCAGCCAATCCTTTGCTCTGAAAATTGGCCACTGGATTAGTGTTCAGTGATTCTTGTGTTTGAATACCGCCTAATAACTTGTCAAAGAGCTTTCAAAATAGACCCCCTCCGTTTCGTTTTACAATAACCCTATGAAAGAGAGAAGCCAGATTCTATTTGTTAGATGAGACTACTGAGCTACCTACCGCAAAGCCCCCAGCTGACAGCTTAGGTCTCCTAAACTTTAGTGCAGCTTGAACTAATAAAGCAGTTCAGAGCCTTTGTATCCAGCTAGGCACTGGAGACACAAAAATGAACATTGGATAGCACTTGGTCCCCACCCTGCCCCACGGTGGTTTCTGTCTCTTCTACTTTAGAAGCCAAAGAGTTTCTGCCTGTGGCCTGAGGCTTCCCCTTGCCATTGTACAATTCCTCATTTTCCCACCTTCCCTAGGGTGACTAATGCTGGCCAGAGTTCCAAATCAGGGACTGAACTGGTGAGCGGGGGACCTGGAGAGAGCAGACCGGACCAGAGCTCCCACCTCTCGGAGTGCGGAGACTGCCTTCCCCTCTTCTGGAAATGCCTAAGTGTGGCGTGGAGAGATAGCTTCCGTCCTGGGTTTGTGGCTTCATACCATCCTTCAGTAGCAGAAGTATGACTAGTTTGATTTTGTGTGTAAAAATCCTATCAAAGCAGAGAGAGCTTTAACACTAGAGTAAGTGATTGATGACAGCAAAAATGTTTCCAAGTCCAAAGGGAAAAGAAGTTAAGAAAGTATACTTCTATACAGTTTTTTTCCGCGTTGGAAGTGTTTTGGTGTTTTTGTACCCTACAGCAATTGGAGCATGATTTTGTGCTAGCTCTGTGGAAGGAAAGGCAAAGGAAACGTTACAGTTTCAGGGACCAGTTGGATGGGTGTTATCAAAGCATAAACCAGGGCGTTTATTGCCTCATGCCCACCTTGTCAAATCTAATAATGGTACTTGGGCTTTTTAGATCCTTTTTTATTCTTAAATAATACCTATCATTTCATGACCAACTTTATGACCATAATTTTTCTTATAACTGTTTTTCAGGCTAAGACTTTTTGGCAATTTAATTCAATGGTAACTTGATTTAAAGCACAGGTAAAAAGTCTGTGTGGCCCTTGCGGTAGGGGCCCCTCCTTGGGATCCCTGGGTTGCATGAGGTTCGGTCACAGCCATGACTCTTGGCACATAAGGCCTGTGTGTGAGCTTCCTGTTTCCACAATCCCAGCTCTTGGTTTCCCTCTTCCTGCACTTACCATGTGTAAGAACTTTGTTATAAGCGTTCTCAAAGCCTTTTGGTAAAAAAATAAGATATTTATAAATAAATATACGCTGGGAGAATTTGTGCTTTTTCCTCTTATATCAAATAAATTGCATGTAAAGTTAAAAGAAGTAAAATTCTTGTATAGAGCTTTTTCTGGGTATGGGGGAGGGAGGACGAGGAAAATTACATACGAAAATTTTTCTCTCCTGATTTGAGATTTAGGAATGTTTCTCATTGTAGCACTTAAGAATTATTAGGATAGAGAAGAAGAGATGTCTTTTATATTTGTAACTACTTAGCTAAACACATAATAAAAGCAATAGAAATTAGAGTTCTCATAGAAAATAGAATCTTGTAAAAGACAGAGGGGCTGAATATTGGTCATTAAGTGCTAGCCCCCGAGTCTGGCCATGCTGTGTTTGAGCCAGCCCTTCTGCTAATGGCCGTAGGCTTTGGCGAGGCACTTCCTCAATCTGATCCTCCGTTTCCTTGTCTCTGAAGAAAGGATAATATTGGAAATAAAAACCCTCAAAAGTTGTTTAAAACCACAAATGATATAATACATGGAAAATAATCACAAGAGTAAAGGCTAATAAGTGGCAGTTGTTGAAATTATTCTTTTAAAAAAATTATAATTCTTCAAAAATTAAGCTTTTCGATATGATTACTGTTTCTCTCTGATTGTAGCATTTCCATGGAAATATTGCCACGTACACCTACTCGCTCTATTCATAACACATTAAACAAATGTTTACTGAGCTCCGTCTACATACCAGTTTTTGTATTAGGCACCTAGGACACTAAGAAAATAGTCCCTGCCTGTGTAGAGCTATGCTGGAAGTATGAAAATGGGGTAAAGGTGGGACAGTTTGTCAGGTTTACTGGAAAGCGGGAGGCCTCAGTGAGGGAGTCACTCTAGATTTGGATCTTAGGAGATGAAGAGATTCCCATAGTTCTCAGGATCAGGTGGCTAACCAAAACAGAACTGCGTGAACTAAATACAGTGTTTTCAGGAATTGTAGGTGGGCAGACACGCGATGGCTAATCTGAACTTCCACCCTAGCCAGTAAACACCAAAATGTTGCTGCTGCTTAAACTAGTGTTCCCAGGTGTGTGCCTGAGTTCAGGTTCAGACTGTTTGTGGTCCAAGGATCTCTGGTGAGGCAAATCCTTTTAGGGTCCCTTTGGCATGGGATAGCCCTAGGCATCAGTTATACGGGAGACCTCACTTGTGTATTGCCCACAAGTCTCTCTGGCCCTTTGAGGTTTGAAAAACTTAGGAACATTGGAGTTCTGAATATGAGAGCAAGATCTCTGGTAGAAGATGCATAAATGATTAGCTTTTCACCAAGTAACCTAGGACTTTACATCAAAGAAATGAAAGATGCTATACATTGAAGACCCTCCTACTCTTCGGAAATGGAAGAGGGTCTAAGTTGACATTTGGGCAGATGTTAGCCTGTGTTGGAAAAGCTGTTTTCTATAGAGGATAAAGGCTTCTCTACCCTGTTTTCTTAAGAAGCACCAGACACAGGACCAGCTTCCTGGGCATGTGACCTGTGCAGTCACAGAAGGCCCCCATGCTTAGAAAGTCCCTACACTTGATTTAACGCACTGGGTCACCATTTTGTAATTCTTAACAAATTTTTAAAAGAGGCCATGTATTTTCATGCTGCATTGGGCTTCCTAAATTATGTAGCTGGGCTTGATGAGACATATGTTACTTCTAGGACTGGTGAGAAAGGAAATAAAGCCATCTCACTAAGTAGATTTCTGAGGGGAGATCCTGGTTTGTAAAAAGTGAAGAGTTTTTGTGCACTCATGAGATCAAGAGACATATGTTACTTCTAGGACTGGTGAGAAAGGAAATAAAGCCATCTCACTAAGTAGATTTCTGATGGCAGATCCTGGTGGTTGTAAAAAGTGAAGTTTTTGTGCACTCATGAGATCATTTGCATTGCAGTACATAGAGCACTCGTCCATGAAATAATAACCAGTTTTGAAATGCTTTCTAGGATAAATGCTATAGTGATGTCAGATGAAACATGAGTGCATGAAGAAGATATCTTTTATTCTTTATAACCCTCAATCTGTGAGCCTGGGGGTGTTCCCTCACCTTGTTTTTAACTGCAGGGTAGTTGTATTTTGAATCCTTAAATCAAGAAGTCCCTGAGCAGCTTTATTGCAAAGCTTGGAATCTAGCATCCATCACTGTGTTCCACTCTTCTGTGTTGGAATATTAACGGTACTATAGCCCCATAAATTATGTATTTGTTGCTGCCAGCAATGAATAGCAATGCATTTCCTTCTGGAGCTTATTTTGGTTTTACAAGATCATTGATGTGTATCAGGATGCCTTAACAAATGAAATGCAGTTCAAATCACAGGGTTACGAGCCTGCTCAACCAAATAGATTTTCCTTCTTGCACCTGAATGTCAGAATGGTGGCACTCCATACTTAAGAACATGGAAGAACCACCAGGACAGATAAAAATCAATTAATGTTTTTTAAGGAATACATATTAAAGGTTTTATATTAGTCATTAATTAATATAGGAAATAGTAAGGTGTTATAACCAGTTCTAAGGAAAAATCCACAAAGTAGATACATGCATAGGCAGTGGGGAATGTTGACATGAATTTGTAAGTAGAGTCACAGTTGGCTTCTTCCATGGGAGGGGTGGGGTCTGGGGTTTAGTTGCATCTTCACTGGACAAGATTCAATTGCAGTAATAGCCGTTTTCTATAGCTACTGGGTTATAGAATAGCCCAGTTAAAGCTGCAGACCCCTATAGATCAGATAACCCAGAAGAGTGTGCTAGGTAACACCTAAAATTCCGTTGAAAAGACACCCAGTAATTTCTTTTTGCCCACTTTAGTCTTTCACAATCTACTTGACAATTCTTTTCCCCACCTCTCCTGTAATCATAATAATCTCAAAGATTATTCTTGGTCACAAAAAAGAGCTGGTCTCACAGGGTTTGGCCTAATTATTTACATTGGTGCAGTAAGTGTTAATCATATTGGCCTCCTTGGTTTGCTTTGCAAATATGCAATCATACAGTATTAAACAACTATTAAGCTCACAGAACTAACTTTTGCATGGAAGTTTTTACAAGGAATCTTACATTGGGCTTTTCGACCCCAGGGCTAGGAAACCAAGCCAAGAAACTCCACCATATTTTACTTAAGTAGACCTTAGGTGAATTCCTCAAGGTTTCCAGCATTTGCTAGGTTCCTGACCTGGTAGCTTCCTTACCACCAGTAAGTCCAGGACCTTGCAAAGCCAGGTATCAGAGCCAGTTTTCCTGGGAGGTCTTTGTAGGCATTGGCTCCATTAGTTCTTAAAGTGGCTGATTCATATCTGATTCGGTGAGTATCATTCTCTAATATGATACTCTGAAGTAGGGGCTTGGTTGCTCAGTTATATCCTGCAGATAGATTCTAATTGAACCTATGAAGTAACTATATTGCCATGTAAATTAAGGGGACTCAGTAACAGTTTTTGAATTCTGGGATATCAGTGAGAACTGGATATCATTTTTAAATGTTTTGATTTAGCTTATAAAAGCAGAGTTTACTGAATTGTATGTTAGAGATTGCATAGAAAAGAAGAGTAAAAGCATCCTTACGTGTCCAGAAAATAGAACATTAAAACATCAACAGTATTCCAGACAACATAGTAAAATTTCCCTCTCCATTTCATCCAGTCCTGTGTAATTTATTTTTGTTCTGCTGGTTCTTGGTTTAGCAGTCTACACGAAGTAAGATGTCTGCATCCAGAGTCAAAAAGAGTCCAGAAATCCAAGGAAATTCCACTGCTCAGATGAAAAATTATCTAAGCAACGTCAGCTCAATAGCCTGGCCCAAGAGTCTATTATTTGAAATATCAATATTTTAAAATAACTGGTACGTGAAGTCCTTTTCCACAAAACTCTTAAGATTGTCCTTTCTGGCCTGTAGCTTAGAGCAGAGCCTTCAGGTAAGCTTCAGAGTAGTACAAAAGTTATCTGTAGGTAGTAGAGATGTAATGGTTAACTTTTTTACTGTGACAAATAATATCAGAATGGAGGAGAGTAAAATTCTCTATTGAGATACCCTATGTAAGTATATCCTAAGAGTTTTGATCAGTATTTCCCCTGAAGGTAAAAACGTATTATAGGCAAATGAGAGCATTTATAAAAATCTCTGGGGTCTTCCCATAAAATACACAATTTCAGAAATACTTGTATTAGTATCATTTTATCCTGTACTGACTTAACCTAGCGAAAATTGAGTATCTCTTCTGAACTGACAACTCTTAGAATAGTAACACAGCAAGCAAATGCAGTTGTTCATAGCATCTCTCTTTTTAAAAGGCAAAAAAAAAAAAAAAAAATCAAATCTTTATGATTGTCCAGGACCCTTCCAGGAAATATCAAAGATAGTTTTAGGTGTAAATATATCCTAACATTTTAATTTAATTTTTTTCAAAACATAAGGTTTAGTCTGAGAAGGCAAAACCAAAAGAATAGTGAAGAGTTTTAGGTACTTCATTAAGATAGGAGTGCAGGTGCCTAAAAACAACACTTGGTTATGTACATAATCAAAGTAACAATAAGACATTTGAAATAAATAAAGTAACAGAATCTTAAAGAATTTAGCCCTTCTCACAAGTGAGGGTCCTTATATTTTTTTCTTTAAATAATCAAGGACTGTAATCAAGTTAACATAAAGCTCTAAAAATAATTTAGATGAGACATAATCTCTTCTAGGTAGGTAGATTCTATAGAATGTAAAGTATTCTTTTTAATTATGGTTCATATATACAATGGAATGTTACTCGGCCATTAAAAGAAAATGAAATTCTACCATTTGCAATGACATGGATGGACCTAGAGGTTATAATGCTGACCGAAATAAGTCAGAGAAATGTAGATACCATATGATTTCACTTATATGCGGTTATCTAAGGAACAAAAAGAACAAACTAATCAAAACCAGACTCACAAATATAGTGGACAATTTGATGACGGACAGAAGAGAGGGGGGTTGAGAGGCTGGGAGAATGAGGTGAAGGGTAAAAGAAGTAAAAATTGGTAGTTGATAGTTGGACACAGAGAGCATGGAAGAGGGAATGTAATTAGCATTAATATGATGGCTAAGTGGAGGGCCAGGGGAGGGAGGGAGCAATTGGGGGGATCGTTTTATGAACATTATAGATGTCTAACTAATGTACTGTATACTTGAAACTAATTTAAATAAATAAGTTTATTTAAAAAAAAAAAGAATATTCTTTTGCATTATAGTCAAAGGCATTAATCAATAAAAGGAAGCAAGCCATCAAAGCTGAGGGAACTACACCAGAAATTTAATGTATTTTATAGCCTTTTTTCAGACTCAAGTATTATAAGTGAAAGCAAATAAAATTCACTTTCAAAATTTGTCCTTCATTTACCTCTTTCAGATTCTGGAACAAATTTATAATTTACTTTAGAATTGCTTTTTTATCCATGTTCTCTCAAAAGTATACAATGGAGTGTTCCAGAGGCTGCATGATGAGTGACATCATAACAAATGCAGAAAGAGATGAGTATCTGGCTCTCTCCTGTTTAAGCAAGACATTAGAAAGACTTGCAAAAACGTTAATGCCCTTTTTTGTCATCAAAGTGTTTTGTTTTAGGAAATTTTTTTTTCATAAGATCTATGTTGTTTATGTTAAAATGGAATAGATTATTTCTATTTTCAAATGAATCAGGTTTTTTTAAAAAAATTTCTCAGTTTTGGCTTCAAATACAGTAAATATGACCCCAATAAACTTAATTAAAAATTTTAAAAAATATACAGTAAATATGGATAGTTATCACTCACTTAAACTATAGCTCTTTGATTTCCCTCAAATAAGTTTTAAGAGTATAAAGAGGTCCTGAGACAAAAGTTCAACAACTACTGCTTTAAGGCAAAACTACTCTTTCTTTCAAATTAATGCATATACAATTGTATTTCTCTTCTATTTGAACCTGACATAGTCTCAGCCATCCATTTTAATTATAATAATTAACCAAAGAATTCACTTACATTTATTTCATAGAGAAAATTGGGAGAAGGAAGGACGGAGATGATTGAGAACTGTCTATCATATACAAGCATTTTGTCAGACTAGCAAAGCATTTAAACATATATAACATTAATTTCTACTGTGACATACATCACTTTTATCTCCCCTGAAAATGGCAAAAATGAACACATTCATTGACATGACTCACCTAAGTTATAGCCTCTCTGTACAGTATAAAAGTAAGAAGCAAACATATGTAAACTTAATATTTTTTGTAATCAAAGTTTCAGTATTCTAACTTATTCTGAAATTATCTAGGTAGGTATCCAATGATTATTGATTAGCTCAACTTAATATTACTCCTAAAGATCTTGGGAATTATCTCTAAGTGATATGCTGCAAAGCATAATTGCTATTTATATAAAAAATATATCAGGAAAATTATTCAATTTGGTTGAACACAAATTTATAATTTTCATAATCTTAAACATATAGATATAACATTAACTTATTTGGCCAGTTTTCCTATATAAATTTAGGAGAAATCAACCCAAGTAAAATAAAATGTACACATGTATTATACTTAACATTGAGAAGTCAGAGAAAAACAGCTGTTTTAAAACTTATCAGATTAGTCTCATTTGCCAAAGTTACCTTAATTTTTGAACTTGGATTCTTAAAGTTTTATTGAGTTAGCATTTTCTGTAAAATAATTTTTATTTTTAAGTATAGTAAGTTTAAAGTTTTAGATGTTCGATTTTCTTATTTCCTGTGAAGTTTAGGAATATTCAATTTACATAAGTACTTTATAAGCCAAGCAGAACAAGTCTTTACAATTTAAAAGGTGCTATAATCTAATTTATTGATACCTGGAAATAAGAAAGCATTCCACATACTACAAGAGGTAAAGAAAGGCCTTTCTGAATTGTAGACACAGACACACAGAGCTTAATAACCTCAGTTCTACAGCTTCAGCCACAGATCAAAAGTAAACAGAAAACATCACCAGTTCAGATTTCAAAAGATTTCAAAGAGCTGCTCTCCTTCCCAGTGGGCACAGAATTCTTAATTGATTTGAGCTCAAAATAGAAAACTATTCAAGCAAAAACGTCCAAGAAACCAGATTCCCTCTTCTCTCTCACCTAACAGAAAGTAGATCTGTGTACTCTTTTGTTAAATGATCATCAACTTACCGGACCATAAAACTGAATTCTCCATCGTGGCTGCCACCAAGAGGGAATAACTTGTCAGCCGTGCATGGACTAGGAAGAAAAATAAACACAAATCAGTAAAGAGGAAATAAAAACTAGAGAAACAGTCAATGAAGCTCAAGTCTACTGCTGCTTTGGATTCACTCTGGGAGCCAAGAAGTAGTATGTGTGGGTCTAACCCACCCACGATGTGCTTCACTTTTCAGGCAACACCGTTTACCTGACTCTTATCATGTGAATCCAGTCAACTTCTCAATGAATGATCTCCAAAACTCTTAAAGCATACCTTTTTTAAAAGATAAGTCATGACTCTTGAACAAATGCAGCATGAACATGTGTCACAGATTAGTTTATTTAATCAATTAGGGAAGGAACCAGTAAGATGTTACAGTCAGTTCAGCAATCAGCTTTTCTCCTTAAGTGTTAGTAATGGACAAAGATTATCTCTGCCTGGGGCCTCGGTATCTTAAATGAGCATTTTGACTTTTAAACCTCGAGTTCTCTCCCCACCCTTGGCGTGTTGACAGTTCCATCTGATTTCTAAGATCTGCACTTGAGGCTCAGCAGTGAGTGTGCACATTGATTGACTGCTGGGCTTCCTTCCATCAGGGCTTTCATTTGCTTCCTAAACTGTTGCCAACTCTTGCTTTCTTTCACAGTGACAAAGTCCAGGCCCTCTCCTACGCACAGCACACACGGCAGCTCATCTCATGTGGCGGTGATGGTGGCATTGTCGTCTGGAACATGGATGTGGAGAGGCAGGAGGTAGGTGTCACAGCAAGCTGGGGGCCTGTCCCTCCACAGCCACCAGATTGTGCTCTGCAGTTCTGGCTGTGCTGAAAAATGGATCAGCTGCCCCACCTGCTCATTTCTTCTTCCTTTTATGATTAAATCATGATATGAGACATGTCAATAAAAAATTCTAGTATAGGAGGAGTTTCCTTTTCTTTTTTAATCCATACAAGTTGGCATTTAACATTCATGTAGTGGAGATTTCATAAGGATTTAGACTGAGGCTAAGCTGTTTAGACTTTAAATCTATTGTGGCATTCACAACAAAGCTTCAGGTGAGAAAAAGGAACCTTCTATTTTCAGGTGATTAGCCTTTTGGTATAAAGTGCCCTATGAAAATAAAACCATGTGCTTTATGTTATCGAGGGAAGTGGTGGCTAGTGGTTGAGAAATGGTATTTAATGAAGTAAGAATCCTTGGTTTGGTATTAATAGAAACGTTGGAAATAATTATTTTGTGCTTCTTTATGAGTCATGTCCTAAACAGTTCTCAGATATAAATGTATGTTTTATCATTTTTAAGCATATATTATTAAGTTTTATCATAACATTCGTTTTTATAAGTTTTCTTTTTCACCTTTGAGCATCTTAATGATTGATACATTTCCAGAATATCTCCTTTGTCAAGTACTTTAAAGGTAACAATATTCTCATTTCCCTAGAATTAAACTTTCCCTTTGACAGTGTATGTTCTTCTAATTTCAGAAAAGCAACACTTTAAAAAGACAAAAGCAATTTCCCATCTTCTTTCTCAGTCCTGACCCAACCCCATTTCAAGAGAATATTACCCACTATGCAATGCCTTTCAAATGCCAGTAATTAAATGCTTAAGAAGATTAAAGCTTGATTTGTTCAAACCATAAATCCACAGGAGTTCTATTAGTAACTAATTAAAACAATCATTACTGTTAGGAAATGGGGAATTGTAGAACATTGCTTTTGAAATGCCATTTGGTATAAAGGCTGAGAAATCCATACAATGTGTACTAGCCAGGCTCTCCAAGTGACCAGTGATCTGCATGAAAGCTGTGTTAGGTCAGCGACAGTCACACCTGGTTTGTCCTGGCTGCTTTCCAGGCCTAACTGACCTAACCAGGAGAGGAGGGGTCCCTTGAGTTCTTTTCCCTCAGTGCACTGTGGGGGAGGAAGAAATTTTCCTCTCAAGGTTCTTTCATTTGGTCTAATAATCAAATAGACAATGAGACAAATCAAGGGAAAATGACCACATTTAATTACATGCATATGTATGAGAACTCCACATACATGAGAGAGTCAGAGACCCCATATTCCTGAGAGATTCAAAGACAGGAAGGGAAAATGAGGTAATAATGACATTCCGAGCTAAGGATCACCTTGGGGCTTCAGAGGGAAGGAAGGTCATTGTAGGACAATAAGAAGAGCAGATATATGGTAATTAGAAGTTTGTCCTTCCCTACAGAGAGGTCATAAAGAGTTATTTTGGTGATAACTCTTATGGGCAAGGCCCTTAGTTTAAATTCTTTAAGGGACAGGTTAAGTTTCTCATGAGCCTGCAGGATCTCGGCTGCCTTTAGCTCAAAATAATCTGCACGCCACAGCGGCACATCTTGGGGTGAGAGGTGACTCATTCTGAACCCCTGCAGCATGCAGCCTCCACCCTTGATGGACAGAGCCCCAAAGGAGGATAACGTGGTTTCCAGAGACAAAACCAGGTGGTTGTGGGCAGTCCGTTGAGCCATCTTGCTTAAATTACGCCTTTTGACATGCATATATATGCGTCCTTGTTGACTATTTTAAATCTTGTTGAGTGATTCAGAGCCTGAATGAGCAGTGGAAATGGTTCTGTACATTTTTTGCAAGTGTCATATTATATAAACATAAATCCCCTGAGATGTATCTGTGGAGCTGCTTCCTGGTAAGTGCTGGCGAGAGCTGTGCAGGGCTCACCTCCAGAGGTCTGAGACGTGTTAGATGAAGCAGTTCTTGCCCTGAAGCGCTGCCAGACTTTCTGGAAGAAAAGACACGTGGTAGAAAACTTAAGAAAACTATTAAATGGTATAAATGAATTAATTGCAGTCAGTGCAAGCTAGAGCATTAGTAGTGGGTATTTAGGAAGAGGCATTACCATTGTAGGCCAACGTTGAAGGGTTTGTGGACAGAAATAGGGCTGAAAGATTGATGGGGCCTGGATGTATACTGTCCAGGACAAGAAACCCCAAGAGTAAAGAGCTGGTGGATGTGGGCAGGCACACACGCAGCATTAGTGCGCATGCGCAGAGGACGTGGCCAGAGGAGCTTCTTGAGTGGGGCAGAGACAGATAATAGAAGACCTCGAGTGGCTGAACACAATCGAATTGACATCCCATAGGTTGTACACGTATTTATACTCTTAATGAAATTCATTTTTTCTAAATTTTCCCATTTTTTTTTCCAAAATATATATAATAAACAGCAGTTACTCATGGTGCCACCACTCAGAAATAACACCCTTAACAGGTTGACAAGCATCCCTCCTTACATTTTTCTCTACACATACACATATGAAAGATTTTTTTTTTGACAAAAAAAATGGAATCATACTATAAATCATATCCTGATTTATTTTTTCCCACTTTCCTGATCCTTACTTTTAATTCCCTCCTCATTGATACCTGATATGGTGTGTTTGATATGTCCTGAATCTGCATGCTTCCTTGTAAAAGATGTAGTGGCGGGGTGTGTGTGTGTGTGTGTGTTAAAGTTTTTTGTAAATCTTCCTGCATCAGAAGTGTTCTGAAAAATCACAACGTGGATATGTATTTTAGGGATAAAAATGTTGTGTTTAGCTAAAAATTTTGCATTATTTTGTTAAATCTGCCTTTAAATGGATTAGGACATGAAAATTACAAAGCAAATCAAGGCTTCTTTCAGTTTTAATAAAATAAATAGACCAAGAATTAGGAGTCTTTTAATGTCACCTTTTTACTTCACTTTTTTGAGAAAGTGTATAGTTTTCGGCTCATTTCTGCTTGAAGGCAGGATAATAGGCTAAGTCCTCAAATCTGTTCCACAAGAGGTATTCCTCAGAAAAGGATTACATCAACAGAAAAAGACCTTCCTGGGCATTTACTGTGCTGCCGTCCATTGTGAATCTCGAAGAGGGGGCAGATGATGGAAGACCTCATTTCTCAAACTCGTTTGATCTCAGGCCTCTTTTACAGTAAGAATCAAATTGAAGTTTCCTGGAATTCAACTTTTGGGAAACTCTGGGGTTGAGTTTATTTTTCAAGATTCCTTGGGTTTGGTGATATGTAGAAAGAGATCAGCCCCTCTAGGGCCAACTGATGAATTTGCAGATTTGAACATGGAACTCTAAAAGACGATGCAGAGTCAGTATCTGCATTGTCTATAAAGATTTGCTAAAGAATAGCTTTAAGCTGAATACGTCTTGTAGACCTGTTTGCCATAGTTTAGAGTACTTGTGACAAGGTTGGGAAATAGTGAATGAAACCAGAATATTGAGTGACCCGTGAGGAGGCAAGGAGCAGAGTTTCAAACTCTGCTGGGCCCTACCACAAGTGGATCGTGGACAGATAGCTCCCCCAAGTACTCGCTGTGGTCAGGTTCTGTCCCTCTAACACAGATAGCTGTGCGTATGTGTAATGTGTAATTAGATATAATTGTACACAATTAGAGCAGATATAATTATATATGATCAGAGAATATGAAATAAAGTCCTAAGTTCTCAACATGGCTGTCAGGACTCTGCTGAGATGGCCCCGGCAGTTCCTGAACACCCCTGAACCCAGCCTGGGTCATAGCACTGTGCTTCTCCTCAGGCCTTTGCACTTATACTTATTTAGTTGTTAATAATATTTTCATGTTTAACCTTCCCCGATGATTCTTCATGAGAGTCTTTTTATTCACCAGTATGTCCCCAGAGCCTTCAGTAAATATTTTTTAAATGATTGAGAAATCATACTTCTGGTTCTTATAAACATATCCTGATTCTGTAAGTTTCATCGATGTCAGTGGTTCCGTCCTCCTCACTGCTGCTCACTGTGACCTGCTGTGTGCTTTGTTTAACAGACCCCTGAATGGTTGGACAGCGATTCCTGCCAAAAGTGTGATCAGCCTTTCTTCTGGAACTTCAAGCAAATGTGGGACAGTAAGAAAATTGGCTTGAGACAGGTGCGTGATATGGCTGCTTCATCAAAATGTAATAGTGTGGAAATAACTTTACCTTGTGATCTTAGAAGAAATAAGGGTAAATTATTATCATAGAGTCGCTTTGTAACTGCACATTAATTTATTCCCTTTATCTACTCTAGCTGTTTCCTGCTGGATTCAGTGACTTATTCCCAGTAAGCAGTTAAGAGATATGATTTCCGAATTCTAGTGGCATCTGTTGAAATATACCTTAAAATTAGAGGGGTTATGCTTACCATGAAGTTACAGAAGTAGTATTTATTTCTTCATAATAATTTTACTTGCCCTCTTTCTGTCTTAGTTTTAGTTATTTAGATCTACTTATAATACATAGCATTTTCAGTCTGATTCCATGGTTGGATTTGGTCCTCCCCAAGGAAACCAAACGCTGGTTTCATGGCTCACCCAGGTTGAGCATGGCTGGAGTATAGACAGTGGATTGAACCAGGGTTCATTTATGTTCTCCATCAAGAAGTGTAATTTCTGGAGATGGCACTTCCTCAGTACACTCAGCTTTAAAATAACCTGGCCACTGAGTGGTTCTTCTAGAGTTCATAGAGATAGTAACTGGAAAGGACCAAGGATGGAGGAAAGGGGCAGTGGGAGGGGGCACAGTCACATGGGATTCCCAGCAGTCCTCATCCTACACCTTTCAGTTGTGTGTTCCTTTCAGTTTTCTGGGGCACTCTTGTTTAGCGTCCTCATCTGAATGCTGTTGCTCACGCCTGTGAGGCCCAGCAGCCTTAACGAATACCTGTTCTCTCTCCCTCCAGCACCACTGCCGCAAGTGCGGGAAGGCTGTCTGCGGTAAGTGCAGCTCCAAACGCTCCTCCATCCCTCTGATGGGCTTCGAGTTTGAAGTGAGGGTCTGTGACAGCTGCCATGAGGCCATCACAGATGAAGAGTAAGTTCCAGCAGTCTGCAGAATTGTCAAGGTTAAGGAGAGGATGTGATCTGAGAGCTGCACCCAACACTACAGTCAGGACTGCTAGTGCCCTGGTTCCTGGTTTAGAATACAGACTGGGGCAAGTGAGCGAAGCCCTCCTTTCCACCAATAGATTCTTTTCTCTTGTGAGGTGGGAGAGGAGAGAGTCTGCGCAAAGAATGCATTTCTGTGCTCTTCGCAACCCCAGGGGTATGTGCATTACAAATACAGGTTCTTTAAGCAGAGCCTTCTGTCTGCCCATCTCCTCGAGAAATGTCTAGTGTTCAGTAGCCCAGGATTCACTTTCTAGCCCAAGCTGCTATCTTTACAGAAGTGGAATCAGCCCCCAGGCTCCAGAGGCTTCATTTTCCAGGAGGAGCAAGGCCACTTTACCTAAGAGGCAAATACTACCAATTGCCTAGCTGCTCAGTCTTGCTGGTCAGTCTTGCCCAGAAACCCAGGGCCTTAGATTACTGCACATCAGTGTGCTTGGGAGAGTGGGACACATCTATACTGTGTCTTTCATGTCAGCTAATTGAAAACTGCCCCAGATGTAAACAGAATGCTCCGCAACAAGTTTCCCTTTAGTGAATTACAGCTGGATTTCATAGGAAACGGCTGCCTAATTCTCCCGCCCCTGCCCCACATACCTCCAACGCCTTGTATACAGTAAAGTCATTTAAGTAGTGATGGATGCCTTAAAAGCTGCATGTAAATAGAAACATAGAAAAAGTACCAGAATAAATCACTATTTAAAGGAAATTCCTGGGATGGCTCCATAGTGTAGTAGTTAACACGTCTGCTTTACACACAGAAGGTCCTGGATTCACGCCCCAGGTGGAGCCATGGACCATACCCTAGGTGTGCCAGCCCCTCCCCGCCCCCCGCCCCCCATGCACCAGGCCCCGGGGGTGTGCCGCCTTCAGAGATCAAGTTCTTAAGGGGAAACAGCAACATCCATAGGTCAGGGATGGAAGTTGGGGGTGGGGGGAATTAAAGAGGGGAAAAATAAAAATAATAATAATTTTTTTAAAAAATTGGGCAAATTAATAAAGTATTCTCTTACAGATAACCCTAATTTATATTTTTCATTGTTATTTATATGTATCAAATATAAAGATGCCATTACATAAGTAAGCGTTTCTGTTCATTGATTGTTTTCCAGTCATCATGAGAGCTGCATGTGATCTTAGAGATATTCTAGTTTAAGTCTTCATTTTATAGTAAAAGTTACAAATCCAGAGGTTCAGAGTGACTGCAAATTAAACCTAAACCTTAATTCTAAATGTTTTAAAGTGACCATTTTTAGTATGCTGAAGATCAGTTATTCCCCAGATTTAGCTATAGATAAAAAGAAGAAAACAACCATCTTCAGAGAGCCCACTAGAGAGTGAGAACCCTCGAAACATGATTAGAGAACAGCTATTCCTGTCCTCGTTCCCGTGTCACTGTCAATTTCTGCCTCTTCTCTGCGGAAGCGTTCTCATTGCATATAGAACTCCTGGGCACAATCGACAGGCCTTCTTGCTTTAAAAAAATGCATAGATTAAAAAACACAAAACATAACGATGTTTGTTAAAGTGCTGGGATACTACAGCACAAGTAAGTCTGCCATTAAACCTGCGAAAAGAGGGGAAAGTATATAGCCCTTGGATTACAGCGGTAGTAATATCTTAGGCATTTTAACAATCAAGCTTTTTTTTAATTAAATAGGCAAAGATAGAATATTTTACCAGCAAGTCCCTCTGAGAGCAAACTTAACAAAAGTACTGTGGTGGGTTTTTTTTTTTTTTAATTTGTCAAAAACAATGTTTTTCATAAGCTCTATAAGAGCAACAAATAATCTATAAAAGATTTTTGACAATTTCATCATCTCTCTCCAATTTTGCAGAATATAAGAATCCTTTTACTTTTAAAAGAATCATACCAAGTCACCAGAGAATAAAGGTAGATCTGAGCAGCATTTCTAACAATGAAACAGTTTTAGCCATTTGGTTAAAAATTAGAGCTTAACGTCACCCTGGTTATTCTTCATTCATTTGTCACCACCTTTCAGTCTTGGAAACTTTCTTTGCTTCTTCCAGACGTGCGCCCACGGCTACCTTCCATGACAGTAAACATAACATTGTGCATGTGCATTTTGATGCAACCAGAGGGTGGTTACTGACCTCGGGAACTGACAAGGTTATTAAGGTAGGACGCTATCTTATTTTAGGAGTTTTCCATCTTTGGCCCTGTGTAAACACACAGGAGCACCAAGACTGTATGAAATCTGCTCAGATTACCCTCGGCAGTGAGCATTTTTGACAACCTATTACATACAACACTCCATGCCGGGCACTGGCTGTACATAGCACATCCCTGGTACCCATTCGGTCTTTTAAATGACTAATATGCCTTTATTCTTTGTAGCTGGATTAACATTTCCAGTTGCCATATTCATGTTTTTGAGGTTTATGTTGTACTTTCTGATGGGAAGATACTATTTTACAGATTTTGAAGTTGTTAATACAGTATTCAGTTGCTTATTAAATTGAAAAAGTCACTTGAATTCACTTGTAAGGTCTGTTTATCATCAACACAATTTTATTTTAGTTTATTGTAGATCTTTTTCTTTTTTACAGTTGTGGGATATGACCCCAGTAGTGTCTTGATGACACTCCCAGGCATCAGATAGTATTTACTCAAGAAACAGTTCAATCCAGATTGTTACTGGAGGTGTAAAGCAGACGTGTGAGAAGCTAAAGAACCTAGCTGAGTTTGCCTGTTACCTGCGCACAGAGTGGTGAGCTTGTGAATGAACACTTGGAGAGGACTCTTTCAACTTGTTCATACAATATAAAAGGAGATATTTTTTTAACAAATGGTTTATACAGTTTGGCTGTGCTACATTGTTTTGTGTATACTGAAAACTGCTGTGTTTAATTTTTATATTTTTCAACAGTTCATTTTAATTGTTACTTTGTCTGTCGGAGAAATAAGGGAAATGTCTGTTCAGGGTGTTTTGGGTCATTATAAAGCAGTTTCATGTTTTCTTCACTTGGGCATGGATCTTTTTCTTCTCTGTATATCTGTCTACCCTCACCTTCATCTGCTCTTCCCCAGAATGTGCGTGTTTACGTTTATTCACAGCGTTTCTGCTTTCATAGAAATCCTCTTCAATTGAGAGCTTTGGGAAACCATTCATGCGGATTTAACAGCTGACTTCTTGAATCACCTAAAGAATGATCTGTGTGTAATGTCTAACTTATTCATGTTCTTATTGAGTAGAAATGACTTTGTGTTTCTGCCTCAGTTTTCTCTCTTTCCCACGTTAAAAAACTCTGAAAGCTGTTCCCAACCATTGTCATCACGAAAGTAGATTATTATAACTCAGAGCTTCAACTGTCAGTGCCTGGACCATTTCTACTTTAGTTGGAGCCTTCTGAGCTTTTTATGTTTTAATGTTATTGACCCAGCTCTCCCTCACTCATAATATTTAAAAACAAAAAACCCTATGTCCTTCAAAATAAGCATCTTTAAGATGTGTTTTTCCATGTGACATCACCTCTGAACTTAAACACGTTCATTACTACGAGATTGTATCCTGCTCTATTCCTTACCATCTGTATTTTCTTCCCCGTTAAAAACTAGAACACTCTGCATACTTTCATACTAGATCTGTGTGATCTGAGATATAAAAGGTACTGAATCCTACAGCTCATGCTGTGTTTCTGTTGGGAATGTGAAAAAAGGGCTGTAGAAAATCAACTTGAAAAACTCTAATTTTAAGGGAATCCAATCAAACTTGATAAAGCAAAATATTCTTATGTATAGTGACTCAACTCAGGATATTGAAGTCCTTTTTTAAAAATCTTATTTTCACCTGTAAAAATAGAATTTAAATGAGTGGGCAAGCATGTATTATGTGCCTGCTCCATTCTCAGCACTTTACGTCAACTCTCACCTCTCCACTAAGTCTCTTGGGGATCACCAGGTTAAATAAAGCCTTGCAGATAAGCAGGCCAATTATTTTCCATCCCTGTTTAAGCCCCATCTCCACAGTGTCTTGTTCACTTCTGATTTGACAATTTTTTGGTGGTAGTATTTTAAATCCTTCCTATTTTTCACCCTTTTCCAGAAAAGCAATTTTTTCCCTCATGATCATTAATTACTTTTCTTTCTAACTGGGAAAAGTACTCCCAGCCCTGACCACCCCTAACACTGACCTTGACCCGGCATGCTTCCTGGGAATGGGACGGCGCTTCCTAGTGATGATTCTGCTGCTGTAGCATTGGGAAGCAGTGGGTGTTCCCCAGTCAGCTACAGTACATGACAGCCATCGCCTGAGACATCAGACCAGATCAGCCCATGTGACCATACCCCAAGGTTGTATGCATGTGTGCACGTACGTGGTAGTTGTACCACTTGTCACTTCACTGTCCTCTTCCACATTACCCTCACTTGCCATCAAGCTGTTAGAATTAATCTGACTCTTTACTGCATGATTGCTCTGTGAGAGCTTTAAAAGAGAATTAAATTTAAAATATTCAGATATATATTTTATAGTTTATTACTAGAACCTGCAGCCATTACTAAGTTGTACATAATAGAGAGCTATGTTGGAAATGAGTAATATATATAGATCTCTGTTTCTCTTTCCTGAACTTTGGAGCATGGCCTCTCTATAGAGAGGAAGACAGACACAGTATTAGGGAGGCAGGAGATCAGGCACCCTGCAGGCTTGGCACGGATCTGAGTGAGGTCTAGATGAGCTCATACCCCATTTGGGATGCCGATTGTCCCTGTCGGGTCACATGTGTACACCATGCTCTGTGTACACTCTGTCTGTGACCCCACACTTCACTGTCATCATCTCCCTCCCAGCCTGGCTGTACCCCAGTCCACAGAGCCACTCAAGTTGAAACCACTTGACACCTCATTGATGATGAGAGTCACAGTCAGAAAACCACAGATATGTCAAGGATCCATTGCTCTGCCCTTTCTTTCTCCTCATCTGTCTGGTTGCTTGAATTTAATGAGAAGTGCTTAGCAAACCAGCTGTGTGTGTTTATACTACTGTGAATGCCTGAATTTTACATTGCGTGTCTCCACTATTTTTCTAACTCAGATAGATGTGCTGGTGTTGGGTGCCTTCCAAGCATTTTATGGAAATGGAGGCTTCATTCGCGAGGAATGAAAGCTGGCACCAGCACTTGACTTTTCTCCTGTCTAGGTTAACTGTCACAGTTCTTGTTTTACCCTATTGGGTTTGCACTTTACATATATTTTTGCTCTATTACTTCAACTTACAGAAGCTCTGGCAAGTGATGCCTAACATGGCTGTGTTGGGAAGTGGCAAAATTGCACATATATGCACATAGTTATTCTTCCTTTGGTAAGATAAAACCAATCACATGTTCTCAGTTTCTCCAAAGAAATGATGTTACTGGAACCTTTTAACTGCCTTGGTATGTCTCCACAGTAGCTAACGTGGTTTTACATTAAGTCCTCGGAGTTGTGTGTCTTTTTATGTGAAGTCAGTCAACCATGATGTGTTTCTCATTTGATTATTTGAATTATTTAAAGAATCATAAAATCACAACTGGAAGGGATCTTCACAAATTTAGAGTGTTCAAGCACAAAACACTTTAGTCCTGTCAAGCAAATAGAATAGCTGAGGGATAAACAAGAGAATCTAAAAGAAGAATTTTCAAGGAACAGTTGTTTTCAAACATTACCTGGTAATGGCATGAGTGGGAGAAGTGACTTCCAGCGCCTAGAGACAGGGCCCTCGGGAACCAGATCTGTTCCTCTCAGCACTGGTAAATTAGACTCTGCGTTTGCCCCAGCCCTGTGGCTGTGAGCAGGTGGACACTGTGTGGCGAGGCGGTTACTGCAGATCTTCATCAGCGTGGACTCCTCCCTACACTCTTCCCCACAGACCACACAGCATCAGTGTTAAAGTGGGCATCCAGGGGCACTGAACATGCATGCACCTTATCCTATTTGTCTGAAGACTGATTACAAGCTGGCCTTGAGTGAGTCTCTGGGCCCACAGAGTATGCCCTTCCTGTGGAACATCACATTTTCAAGTTTTGAAATTTATTTATTTTTGCTTAACAGTAATCTGTTTTTAAAGTCTGAATTTGGACTTTTAAGCAGAGAGATAGCTCTAAACTATGTGTTAAAGTTACTGGATATAAATATTCATTAAATGAGATTCCTTTGGTTTTCATGGTAGTTTTATTGTATGTAAATAGCCTTATTCACTAAGATTCACATGTTAACATGAAAGCATTTTGCCAAAACATTCTTTTCTCTCCTTAAAAATAATGTTAAATTTTTCCTTGTGTGAAAGCATGGCTATCTAGCAACTTGATTGGAAAACACAGAAATTAAATTCCTTTTTAATACTTATTTAGATGATCTGAAATTCTAATCCAGTTCAACCAACCATTTGTTGAGTGTACACCAAATGCCAGGCTTCGAACTAGGTCCTAGGGTGACAAGGTCCATTGCCAGGCCTGTGCAGAGGCCACACAGATGTGTAGATAGATCATTTTCAGTACAATGTGGCAAATTCAATAACAGAGGTGCATATGGGGTCTCTCCCAGGAGCTGCACTGTGGCTGGGGCCAGAGGGACTTAGCAGATGAACCAAGTGTTAAAGCCTTAGTTGAGTAAGGAAGTGACTTTCCAAGCTGCAGAAAATGCATAAACAGAGGCCCACGATCTAGCATCAGCCTGGTGCGAGGAACCACAGGTGGTCTGGAGTTGCCAGTGAATAGGAGTGCTCAGCTGCAGTCCGGGAGGCTGAGCTCTGGTCACTTTGAGATGCAGATGCTCATGACGGGAAAAGAGGAAGGCAGCACTCAATTGGTCGTGAGGGGTTTGTTTACTAAGAGGCCCATCAATTTTAGAGTCAGGTTTTCCTGTAGTCAAAGCTAGTATCAAAGTTTCTTTTTCTTTGGAAATGCCTCGAATTGTTATCTTAAAATGACCCATGATAACTAATTTTTGAAGCTTCTGGGTGCACAGCCCCTCACTGGAGGCGGTGAGGTCGACCACGCATGCATGGACTTGACCTGGAACTACTTACATGCTAATTCCATAATTACACAGATGGCGTGAGCTAAGCTACTCCCCTTTGAAAATGGAAAGGCCTTGACCTGTGGCAGAAGGAGATTGTTTTAGACAACTGTGGCATCACACTAACAGGCAGCACCAAACCTTTTGGTACAGAAAAGGCAACTGCTGCCCTCGGTTTCCCTCTTGGCCTTAAATCATTTTTGCAAGTAATAAGTCATTTCAGTATAGTGTGGCAAATGTGATAAATCCTCATTGCAGTGGTACTCTCCAAGTGGAAGGGGACATTTTTCTCAATTCAGTGACAGTACAAATGGCTCAGTCACCCACTGCCTCAGAGACCTGGCTCTGCCAAGGCAGGGGCACTCAGCCTCCCACCATGGGGCTTGGCACCTTCTACTTCCTGCCGTTCCATCCGTTTGCCTTTTTCTTTGAGTACCCAAGTATAATAGTCCATAACTTAATTCAGGAACATCGGTGTTCATGTTTAAACTTTAGCTCAATTTTACAACCAAGAACTACCAAGTGAATACTTACCAATACAGCGTTTTAGTTTGTAATTTTGTCTTTAAACATTATCCTGTCCACTGAGAAGCCTGTTTAGACCTAGCACATCAAAGGAGAATCTAAAAATTAGACCTGTCCAAAATTGGAGTGAGATCCCTTCTTTGCATTTCTCATGCCAGGGAATGTTTTAACAGACCATAGGTAGCCCCTTGTCAGTGATGTGGAAAGGAGAGTAAAGCCTGGAGTAAGGGTCAAATTCGATACTCATTCTTAGGATCCCTTCCAATCCCATGATCCTGTGATTCCATGAATGTTGTTTATTATCGCACTGGCCAAAACCATTACCAGTGATCGACCCACACGTGGCTGGCTTAACTCAGATAAATGAGAACATAGCCTGACATTTTTTTCTTCTGTCATATTAGGAAAATTGTTTTCTGCATTTTTCTATGTAGAGCCTTGAAGGTATGAAAAAGATGGTGAAGGTGGAAGTTAACCATGGTGCCATCTCATTAAAAACAGATACCTTAAAATTTTCACCTTTGTGAGTCAAGTGTATCTGACTTTCTTGGGAGAAAAAGTCAGGAAACTGCAGGCTGGTTTCAAAGGTTAAATTTAGAATCTGATCTTGATATGCGCGATTCTTGCCGTTCCCCCGCGACCCACCGTTTTTCTTGGTTCTCTGGGAAGCACGAGAGAATGAACTGTAATACAAAAAGGGAAAATGGTTTGAAAAAAGCATTTCACTTAGGTACACTTTTTCCGTTTAAACGGATGGCGGCCTTATGTCAGTCAGTAGCATACACCAGTATGAAGTACAGACCAAAATACTTGCGTCACTGGTAACCATCGTGCTCTCAATGTGTATTTGTGTTTTATGCCATTTGCCTTGATTTTTAAATGACTTTTCAATGTATTGTCATTTTGCAAAAGAAAATCTTTCTATGAGAAGTGCAAAGACTGTTATTAACTGGACAACAGGGAAGGTGCTAGCCCCACACCATGCCTGCCGACCACTGATCCATAACCAGGGACGTGGCTCTTCTGCTCTGCCTGCCTGTGTGTCTGTGGCCACACTGGAACCTGGCTGCAGAGGGCATATTACTTTATGGATATTTTTCTTTCTTTTTAAAGATTCTCCAAGGGGTCAGGCTGAGACTGTAATAAGCCCAAAGTTGGAACATATTTCTCAAATGTGGTTCTCTGTCGCCGGTTCCACCAACCAAACCAAGTGGTCCTGACACTGACTTCTGAATGTCACGATTGGGTGGGACTGAGCAAAAATTTCCTATGAAGTTAAAATGTCTGTTTCCAGTTCTACATTCAAATGCTGCTGAATGTCGCGAATGTTTCAGAACCCCACCTCCTTTCCCACTGTGCTTCCCTCCAACTGAATTGTACATGTAGCCGTTACCACCGTACGAGACTCTGTGCAAAGTCGCCTCCATGGTGTAAAATAAACCTCTGGAAACCGTCCTGAAACTGTGGTCCCGTCGTTGTTGCCCGGCTGTAACACGTGACCACATACACTCCAAGCCCTGCCTTGGTGTTAGCCGCGAGGGTGGGGGGTACGTCTCCCGGCCACTCCTGCATCTGGCTGTCAGGACCCCCAGGAAGAGCAGCAGTCCGGAGACAAAGGTGAGCCACCATTCACCCCGGACTCCAAATACAGCAGATGGGCTGTGGCGTGTAGTCCATTTTATTTTTTGTCTTTCACATAAGTCTGCTTTAACTGTGGTTGATAAACTTTCCAAATGAGAAAAAAGAGGGCTTAAGAGCAAACACAGCCAGGAAAAGCCTCTCTGAAAACTCATGAGGCCCATCCGTGGATAAGAAAATGGGAAGAAATCAGTGGCCTGCACAATGCCACAGCCAGTGAGCGGGGTAGCTGGATGGCACTTTACACCGAGGCTCCTGCCCCGGGTGGCACCCTGCCTCACAGCCCACCCGCACCAGCGCCCCAGGAGCCCCCTCTGTCCTCCCTCAGAAAAAAGAACTGCAGTCAAATGGAGCTGATGCTCGCGGGCCTTTCAGGCAGATGCATCCAGAAGAAAACCCTTCCTCACTCGGGCTGTTTGGCTGAGGGCCTGGATCTGAGCACCTTTGAGGAGCTGCACCATGTGACTAGCCGAGCTATGCTCACCTGGATTTTCCTCCCCTGTAGGTGCAGAGTTAGGTTTATGTCACTTTGAACAGCAAGAATGTGTGTAGACATATTCTAAATCTGTCCATTGGGTACAACTTGCCCGGGAGTCACTAGGAAGTAAAATGGTATAATTTAGAGGTTTCATCCAGCTGTGGCACCAACGTGACAGGTGCCTTATTGAAGCCACTCCTAACCCTAAGCAAATGTGACTGGCCCCCATGTGCTTTGTTTATGTAAAGAGGCGCTGTCCCCCGGTTACGCTTTGCTCCCGAGGACAGGGGGACATGTGGGGCAGAGCCCTCCTGGTGTGCAGAACTGCATGGTGCATTTGCTCTTCTCCCACATGTGCTCCCCTCACACTGACAATGTGGATTAATCCTACATGCAGAATTTTACCACATTCTCAAATAATGAGATTTACACAGGAAAAGAACCTGCTGTAGAAGAGGAAGTTTAGCTTGGCCCCCATGACAGTCATATTTATTCTAAAATCAAAGTTCCTGCTGCTCGTAGGTGCCTCGTTGCCACAGGGGTGTCTTCAGGGGACGTAGAAGCGGAGTCTGCTCATTGCCCCTGCTCCGCAGCTGCTCGCTTTTTCTCTGGGGATTCTGGCCCGGCCTATTTAAATCTCTGAGCCAGCTCTTCCAGGATTTCACTTAGTTTCTCCTCTTCAGCTGGTGAGGAGGGCGTTCTAGCAAGAGACAAGGGTGTGGCAGCCGATTTCCAATCTAAAAATGAGAAAACACAAAGGTGAGAACCGCAGCGGCCTGGACTGTTCCCTGGTGGCTGCCGCACTCGGGCCCCAGGTCAGTCATCTCACTACACCTGCCGGGGAGGGGCCCACACGGGAGTTAGACAGTGTGTCTGCCCTCAGGGGTCCCCACAGAAGAGCATCATTGAAGGGAGACTGAGGGGTGGAGGACAGGAGCTCTGCGGGTGGCCAAGGGGAGGGTCTTCTGGCCTGGGACCCGGCCATGAGGGGCTGGGTGCGGGAAGCGTGGTGTGTTGGGAACTGGAAGGCAGCAGCCAGGGCTGGGGTAGGGGCACAGTCGGGGAAGGCACACCATCCCCCTCCCCGCAGGGGCCGCAGAGCTTCATAATAGCTCAAGATGGGGTGGTTATCCCATCTTGGGATATAATAGCTCAAGATGGCGTGGTTATCCACGATGGGAAAAGAGAACCGGAGAGAAGACCCTAGCTTCCACCCCAGGTCTCTCTCTTGCTGCCATCTCCTCCCTGCCCGTCTCCTCTCAGAGCTTGCCCTCAGGATCCTGCCCAGAGACCAAAACCTGAACAGATCACTGCCTCCAGAAACGAGAAAGCACAGTCACCATGTTCATTTCGTATTGCTGCTTTGGACAGCTGCCATTCTCTTGGGCTTCCAAGGTGGAAATGCCTCTACCTGGCACCCACAAGGTCTGGCCTGGCCAGGACTTTAATGACAGGGGTCACAGCCTGGGGACTTCTGTCCTCAAGGGCCCCACTGAGTTCATAAAGACAGATGAAAAAAAGCAGGAGAAGAGGGTAAACAGAGGTGAAACGCTTAACAAAACTCACCTTAACAGGTGAAGGCACCATCGTACCAAGGAAGCCTAGACACAGGGATGGGGGAACAATCCCACCACCACCTCAAGTTTCATGAGAAGGACAGTCCACCTCAAGAGGTCCCCATCATGTGGTTTAAGGAATGAGGGTGATGGCTGCCTTCACAAAAGGAGGAAGTCACCTAGAAAGAACCGGCCACTGGGCTTCATGGAGGCAGCAGGGGCGAGGGCCAGCCAAAGCACAGTGTCCGCCCCCTGGGCCACAGAGCACAGCCCGTCCCTGAACCTGGCATGGAACCTCGGCATGGACAGCCTCACACCTACGAGATGGGGACACAGGTTGATTAAGACAACAGTCTCAACTGAAGAGACTTTGTGTGATTGTCTTCTTTTTAACACAATAATTAATAATAATAATGATGATGAATGGGGTCATAAACTGCTCTTTTTCTACTTCAAAATAGCATTTATCCAACCTGTTCAGATCCCAGAGATCCTTGTTACAGAATCACTGAGAGGCTTCCCTGGAGCCAGGATAGGAAGTGCTACTCACCAGATCCTGAGACTTGAGTTGGGTCCCATGTCCCCCAGGTTCCAGGGCATGGGCACCCAGACCAGCCCAGGTCCTGAGAACCAGATCACCTGCAGTGTCCCCTTGGCCCGCTCCTACTATTCCTAACAAATGAGCCCTTTCCAAAGAGGCTGAGATGTGATTAGATAGATGCTCAGACTCCCACCTCCTGGGATAGCCATCGCAAATGATTCTGACCTCTCTGAGGATTCTGGCTGACGGTTTCTTGGACTGCTGTAGTGTTTTCTTCTTTTTAGGGAGGAGTACAGTAAGAAGAGAAAGAACTTCATTTCCTCTGCCAAGCTCCTCTGTGTCATCCTACTTCTACATGTCTTGCTTAGGCTACATAGAGGTTCCTCACCTTGTGTCACCTCCCCAGATTCCAGCACCCCCACCCTTCAGCCTGCCCCTCGCCACAGGTGGCCCAGAGCTGGCTGCAGACTAAACCCCAGACTTTAGGGGAACATAGCGTTTCTACAGTGAGCACATTGGGAAATGATATCATGCTCTTGTGAAGCCAAAGAAAGAAAAGAAACCAGAGAAAACAACATTGAAAGCCATAATGACATCAGAGGATTTTAGAGACAGGATTATCTAAGGTCCTCATTTTTTAATCAAAAATAAACTTTTTTTTTTTTCTTTTTATAGAAGCAATAATTGTTCGTTGTGGAAAAATCAGGAAGTACTGATGAGCAAAAAAAAAAAATCTGGACATCCAGTGAAGATGGTAGAGTAGGTAAATGCTGTGCTTGCCTCCTCCCATGACCACATCAAAATTACAACTAAATTATAGAAAAACCACCCTTGAGAACTACCTAAAGACTAGCTGAACAGAACGCCTATAACTAAAGATATAAAGAAGAAGCCACATTGGTAGGAAGGGTGGTGACGTGAAATGGAGTGGTCCCACACCCACATGTGGTGGCTAAGAATTTGGAGGGATATCAGCTAGAGCAGTACCCTCTGAGAAGCAGGCTCACTAGCCCAGACCACCAGTACCAGGAAGAAGCAATTTCACAACATCTGGCCATGAAAATCAGCGGGGATTGTGGCTGAGGGAGACACAGGGTTCTGGAGTACCAGGCACTCTTAAAGGGCCCACACATGGACTTACTGAGGCTCTCTGGCTCTGAGCTCTAGTGCTGGGGCAGCAGTTCGAAAAGTACCAGGGACACACAGGGAGGAACTGAATTGTCTGGCTTCAGGATGAGGGCTGGAGGGGCCCTTTGTTCTTTTGCTGAGCCCTCCCACACATCCAGTCTGTGGGTGCAGGCAGGCACCAAATTTTATTGTCCATCAAACTGGCCAACACCACTTGCCCAACCTAGGTGATTCCCTGAGAACCAGCCCCACCCAACTCCTGCCTAAATCTCTTTCAGCTACTGTTCTTCACAACCAGTCAGCCTCAGCCTGTGCTATGTACTTCCCTAAAATATCTGAAAAGTCCACAAACTCCAAACAAGTAGCAGCTGGCCTTGGCATACCCTGTACCTCTTGCTTAGTAGTCCCCCAGCCTGGTACTAATGGCAGCTAGCCTGGGTTTACAGCATAGCTTTCGCAGGCTCTTCCAAGCCCAGCACAAGCAGCTACCAAATGCAAATCACTTTGTAGCTCCTACCAGGTGGCCTTGGGGCAGGCACAGGCAGTGGCTCACCTGCCCTGCACTGGAGCCCCTTCCAAGAGGCCCCAGAACCAACCCACCCAGTAGCCAGCTTCAGATGACACCAGAACACCACCCAGTTAATTCTATAAATGACACACCCAAAGGGTGGACCCAGTCGGCACTGGAGCCTTGCTACAGCGAATCTCACTCCATGGGGTCAGCCCCCACGCAACAGCTTGTCCACTGTAGTCATGGCCAGTAGTCCTCACAGCCAATTAGCCTGAGGGTCAATCCCACTCACTGATGTGCCAACAGCAATCAAGGCTCAATTACAATACACAAACCAGGGACACCCCTGGAGCACCTTGTGAACAGGGAGACTGCATCTCTGGGCCCCAAAGGACACCTATTACATAAGGCCACTCTGCCAAGATAGAGAGACATAGCAGATCTACCTAATACATAGAAACAAACACAGGGAGGCAGCCAAACTGAGGAGATAAACATGTCCCAAATGAAAGAACAGGACAAAACTCCAGAAAAAGAACTAAACAAAATGGAGACAAGCCATCAACCAGATATAGAGTTCAAAACACTGGTTATAAGGATGCTCAATGAACTTAGGGGAAGAATAGATGAACTCAGTAACAACTTACACAAAGAGACAGAAAAAAAGAACCAATCAGAGATGAAGAATACAATAACTGAAATGAAGAATACATTAGAGGGAATCAACAACAGATTAGATGAAGCAGAGGATCAAATCAGTGACTTGGAAGACAAAGTAGCAGAAAACACTCAGAACATCAAAAAGAAGAAAGAATCAAAAAACATCAGAATAATTTAAAGGAACCTCTGGAACAACTTTAAGCATAACAACATTTACATCATAGGAATACCAGAAGGCAAGGAGAGAGAGCAAGGGACTGAAAACCTATTTGAAGAAATAATGACCGAAAACTTCTCTAACCTGGTGAAGTAAATAGACATACAAGTCTAAGAAGTACAGACAGTCCCAAACCAGTTGAACCCAAAGAGGCCCATCACAAAACACATCACAATTAAAATACCAAAGGTTAAAGATAAAGAGAGAATTTTAAAAGCAGCAAGAAGAAAGCAGTTAGTTACACACAAGGGAGCACCCATAAGACTATCAGCTGATTTCTCAACAGAAACTTCACAGGCCAGAAGGGATTGGCAGGAAATATTCAAAGTGGTGCACAGCAAGGACCTACAACCAGGCTTACTCTACCCAGCAAAACTATTATTTAGACTCTAAAGATGAATAAAAAGCTTTCCAGACAAGAAAAAGCTAAAGGAGTTCATTACCACCAAACTAGTAGTACAAGAAATGTTAAAGGGATTTCTTGGAGGAGGAGGAGGAGGAGGAGGAATGTTAGAAATATGAATATTAAAATGGCAATAACTACATATCTACCAACAATTACTTTAAATGTAAATGGATTAAATGCTGCAATTAAAAGACATAGGGTGGCTGAATAGATAAGAAAATAAGCCACATACATATGCTGCCTACAACACACTCACTTCAGATTGAAAGGCACACTCATACTGAAAGCAAAGGGATAGAAAGAGATATTTCATGCAAATGTAAAAGAAAAAACAATCTGGGGTAGCGATACTTATACCAGATAAAATAGACTTTAAACAAAAGCTATAACAAGAGACAAAGAAAGACATTACATAATGGCAAAGGGATCTATCCAATGAGAGGATATATTCCTTGTAAACATTTACACACCCAACATAGGAGTACCTAAATACATGATGGACATAAAAAGAGAGCTTAGCAGCAATACATTCATAGTAGGGGAGATTAATAACCATTGACATCAGTGGATAGATTATCCAGACAAAATCAACAAGAAAACAGTGGCTTTAAATGACACATTAGACCAGATGGGTTTAATTGATATTTTTAGAGCAGTAGAATATATATTCTTTCCAAATGGACATGGAACATTTTGTAGGACAGACCACATGAGAGGCCACAAAAGAACACTCAATAAATTTAATAAGCATTATATCAAGCATCTTCTCCAATCACAATGGTATGAAACTATAAATGAATTACAAAAAAAAACTGAAAAATAAAAATAAAAACGCATGGAGGCTAAATAACATGATAGTAAACAATGAATGGGGTTAACAATAAGATCAAGGAAGAAATCAAAAAATATGTTGAGATAATTAAAACACAATGACTCCCTCCCCGCCCCCAAAAAATATCAATGGGACACAGACAAAGCAGTTCTAAGAGGGAAATTCATAGCAATGCAAGCTTACCTCAAGAAACATGAAAATTTTCAAATAAACAATCTTAACTTTACACCTAAAGGAACTAGAAAAAGAAGAACAAAGTTTAAAGTGAGTAGAAGGAGGGAAATAATAAATATCAGAGTGTAAATTAATGAAATAGATTTTTTAAATCAATCAACCAATCAATCAATCAAGCAAAAGGTTAATGGAATCAAGAGTTAGTTTTTTGAAAAAAATAAACATAATTGATAAACCTTTAACTAGACTCATCAAGAAAAAAAGGGCCCAAATAAATAAGATCAGAAATGAAAGAGGAGAAGTGACAACTGACATCACAGAAATCCAAAGGATTATAAGAAAATACTATGAACAATTATATGTCAACAAGTTGGACAACCTAGAAGAAATGGATAAATTCCAGGAACATACAATCTTCTAAGACTAAATCAAGAAGAAACAGAAAATCTGACCAGACTAATAAGTACTAATGAAATTAAATCAATAATCAAAAAACTCCCAACATACAAAAGTCCTGGACTAGATGCATTCGCCAGTGAATTATACCAAACATTCAGAGAATTAACACCTATCCTTCTCAAACTATTCCAAAAAGTTCAAGAGGAGGGAAGGCTCCTAAGCTTAATTTATGAGGCCAGCATTACCCTGATTCTAAAACCAAAAAAAGACATTACAACAAAAGAAAATTATAGGCCAATATCCCTGATGAACATAGATGCAGAAATTCTCCACAAAATATTAGCAAACCGAATTCAGCAATACATTAAAAAGATTGTACACCATGATCAAGAGGGGTTTATTCCTGGAATGCACAGTTGGTTTAATATCTGCAAATCAATAAACCTGAT